GTCAAGAAATTATGACAAAAGCACAGAACTTGCCAATCATTAGGCCGTAGTCTTTCATCAGGACCCTCCTCATATATATATATATATATATATATTGGCGCTTTGTAATCGCTGAAGCGATTTTTCGAGCAAGCTCCTCCTGCAATTTGGGGCTGAGCGTCTTGATGGGCTGATTTTTTTTTTTATGAGAAGCTTTATTTCATGTCATAAATACACTCGGAGGGGTTGACAATCCTTGCCGAGGGGCGAATGCAATTAGCAAATTTAACTTAATTCTTTATTTAAATTAATTTTCTATAGCTTTTGGAAGTTGTTTGCACGGGGATTTGAAACCGAACCCCAAAAACCAAGGCCGTTGTTTTGTATGTGGAATTTTTAAACTTACTGAAAAACATTCACTATCCATCCACCAGAATGGTCAATATAACCTAAATTAAGGTTTGTATTGGATGAGTGCATAAGTTCGTGCTCGATTCCGCTGGATGCCGTTCGAATCGTTTGAGAGTGGCGCTCGTGAAAGAAATATATACATATCATATATCGTTGGAAAGGTAACAGTCCGAACTGTAAATCAAGCATAAAATAATTTCATTTTGATTTGAGTTGCTTAGTGAAAAGTCGCATGGAAGATGGACAACGAAAAAGATCATATGCGTCATATTATGTTATACAAAATCCGCAAAGGAAAAACAGTAGGCGCTGCAACTAAAGATATTCGCGAAGTTTATTTTGACCGTACTCCAGCTGGAGAAACGATCACAGCCAACAAGTATTGTCAGCAATTGGTCGAATTGAAGAAAGCAATTGATGAAAAACGTCCGATTTTGGCCAATCGCAAAGGAGTTCTCTTCCATCATGACAACGCCAGGCCACATGTTGCAAAACCGACCCTGGCCAAACTGAAGGAGATGAATTGGGAAATCATGCCGCATCCCCCATATTCACCCGACATTGCACCTTCTGATTATCATTTGTTTCGATCGCTGCAGAACAATTTGAATGGAAAAAAATTTAAAAATGTGGAAGACGTCAAAAACCACCTTGACACCTCTTTCAACGAGAAACCGCGCGATTTCTATGAATCAGGCATCCGTAAATTGGTTGAACGTTGGGAGTGGATTGCCGAATATGATGGCGAATACATAATTGAAAATTTCAATTTTAGTTTGCACTTGAAATCGGGCACGAACTTATGCACTCATCCAATATTAAAACAAAAAAAAATTGCTTTAGAAAAAAAAAAATTAATAGTTCTGACACAACAATTTTTATTTCGTTCAATGCATTTTTGCTGTCAAAATATTCAATTTCGCCGTATAAGCACTTCGAAATTAATTTCAGCAAACTTGATTTGCTATAATTGCAGTAAGAAAAATTGCGTAGTGTGGCTGCAAACAATTACTATCTGCAATTTGCTAAGTGAAATTAAATTTCCAATTGCATAGTTCAAAGTACTAGCAGTGTTTCTGTCTCATGCTGTCAAAGGTTTTTTGATTAATTTTTAATAGAAAATTTCAAGAAATATATTTTGCTTTGTGTGACTGCACTTGAAATTAAAATTCAAAATTAATTTGCTGCGCCCGACAGCACATTAAGAATATTGCTTTTTGGGCAACACAGTACTGTGAAATATCTAAATACATTAATTTAAGCACATACTCAGATAAGAGGGTTGACTTTTATATTTCTGCATGTGAAAACTAAAACTTTAAAATTCACTTTATGGTTTTTTCAATATTCTATAATAGATTCTGGATACTTTTGCATGCGTTCGAATCAAATGTTGAAGCACTTTTGTCACTCTGATTGAGATATCTTCAAAACATACCTTCTGTACGCATCAACCGCCGCTTAAGGTGTCGAAAAACGTCGTTCTCTCAGCATATTTTCTACGTGCGGGAAGCCGAGTCAGGAAAATGCTCTTGATGACTTATCAAATCGATGTTTTGAAAGCTCAGAAATGCTTTTGAGTGCACGCATTGTTTTAGTGAAGAGTGATACGTTTTCGGCGGTTGGTTTTCCGGATTTCGTAAAAGACAACTGGCAAACAAAAATTTACGTGCTGCTCAGAATTTATTATGCTGCGTTGATCTAGTGATACGATTACGACATGTGAAGATTTACTAAAAAAAAACAGGCAACCATTTGCTGTGAAGTGCTTCGTGCGGATGCAACTCTTATGGGATTAAAAGCCCATTCAGGCGACTACTGTTCATCCGAGGGTTCATCCGTGATTCATCATCTGTCATATACGCATGTATCGTATTTTTTCAAAATTTCGACCAGTCGACACGACCATGTTTTGGCGATTGACTAATTATATGGGATCCAACGTGAATAAATTTTTTTTTACAATCAAATGTTCATGTTATAGTTTTCCCAATCTCACGATGGCTTATGTGACGATCTTGCAAGCCTGTGTACAGCATCAATAGTTTTCGTAACAATAAGTATTTTGGGCGACTTTCACGAAATTCGTCTTGGAGCAATCTACGACTTCCATTGAATCCACCATACCATCGATGAACATTGGCCCTAGATAGAGCTGAGCTTTATCGCCACAAACTGAGTTGATACAAGTCGAAAGTTGTAAAAAAAAAAATTTACTTGCAATTGCTTGTGGTTTTAATACATTTTTTGGCCGTGTTGAATATTTTATATTATTTATTATTTAAATTAACGACACAAACAGCGCTGGTATGTCAAAACGTTCTGAGCATGCATAACATGAAAAAAGTAAAATTTTACGATAAAGTTTTTAGTTGCCAGATTTCAGTACAAGGTTTGCCAAATACCGAAATATAAAAGGCAACCCTCGTATTAAGCACATACATATACATATGTATATACTTTGTAGTACATTTATTGTCTGCACAAAATTTATTTTATATGCCTATCATTTCGCCTGCCAACTACCGTTTCATCAAACTTTTACGATTTTTTTTCTATAAATACATATTTATTTTCACAGTAATGCACGTGCATACATTTAAGTCGATGTCTTATTTATCATTAAATTATATATGCAAGTATGTATGTACATACTTCCGGCAGCCGTCGAGTGGTTAGAATTTTATACTGCCATGCTGAAGGGCAGGGTTCGAGTCCTAGTTGGACCAACTGCAAAAATCATAGAAAATTCTATTTTCTAAATGCGTTCGGCACTCGGCAGAGAATGTCAACAACTCCGTGAAAAAAAAGCGTAAAGTAGAAGTTCCTTATAAAAATCTATCGGCCGTTCGGAGGCGGCCTAGTATAACCGGTAGATCCCTCCATTTGTTGGAAAGACATCTAGGGCAAGAAATCAAGAAGTGCTAAAAATTGGAGGAGTAGCTCGGTTGAAAGTGGCTTCAGCGGTTCCAAATTGCCAATTATATATAAGTTATTGTAAATTTTATGACAATATTTAATTTTTTGTGTAAAAATATGGTAAAAATTACAAATTTTTCATACGAGTAAGTCCATGTAGGTTCCTGTGAAATGTCTTTTATAAATACCAAAATTAAATTATAATAATTAATGTATAATTATTTTTGTATTTACATTCGGAAGAGAAATGTTATGCAAATATGTAGGTATATGAAATTCTACACACACAAATATATATATATGTATATATATATATTATTACCTTTCGTGCAGTAATTGAGGCTAAGCCATGCATGAAATTTCTAAGCGCCTCAAATATGCACTTACGTACATACATACATGCATTTGCTGGTATTTAAATCAGGGATATACTCCAGTTGGTAAACTGATAGAGGCTGTATTCGAATGCCAACAAACATTAACTCTTTATTCTCAATAAGCTACCGTAGCAGGGAATGTGCTGTTCATTATTTGTTAAAACTATTTTGAAAGTATTTAGTGAGAATTTGCTTGCAAGTTTATTGCGAAAATAAGGCAATGGGCAACACACACATGTACACAAGAGTACATTCCAATACAACTCAGCAGCTGAGTGCTTAGGTAATATTTGCTTGGAGTATCTCACTTCATGGTTTTATGCCACTGTTTGCCGGTTGCTTAGATGGCTGTGCTTATTGTTTGGTTGCTGTGGCACCACAACGCTTTACTAGCTGCTGTTATCTTTTGTTCCTATCTACATATATATATTTACAACTAAGTAACGTAGTAATAGTAAATTACGACTTTTTGGACACTCTTCTTCTCCTTTCACAGCTTTGTTACATCATTACATCATTAATGCTACGCGGCTGGTATTTATTTGTTGTCTTTTGTTTGGTTAATTTGCATTCATGAACGCGTAAACAAAACATTTATTACATTTAATCTCGAAATATTGCTTCATTCAGAGGCGAGAAAAAGACATTAAGTAGTTGGCGCCCTTATAATAAATAAAGCAATGAATTATAGACTTGTTAATCTGCACTGCCTGTTCAGAAGGGTTGTCGGCGTGTTGGCATCAAATAAAATATTAAATTGATTAAATAAAATAAAATAAAATAAAATAAAATAAAATAAAATAAAATAAAATAAAATAAAATAAAATAAAATAAAATAAAATAAAATAAAATAAAATAAAATAAAATAAAATAAAATAAAATAAAATAAAATAAAATAAAATAAAATAAAATAAAATAAAATTAATAAAAGAGAATAAAACGAAATAAAGTAAAAAATAAATAAAATATAAGACAAAGGAAATTGAATATAAACAAAATAAAATAAAATAAAAACAAAATGAAAAAATTATCAAAATTTTATCCCCTCTTTGTGTGCTATTCTGGGTTTTAAAGGTAATTAATTTCTTCTCTTTTAACACAGTCTCCAGGAATGCGATGCATATTATCGAAATAGAATAATATTAACCTTAATATGTGGTCAACTAAATAGTAAATATATACATATATAGCAAAATGATTATATATTTTTTTTTGAAGTACTAAATTTTCAAGTTAAATATAAATTTCTATATTTGGCTTTTCCTTGCCAATGGGAGCATTGTAATATTTTTATAGAAATACAAGCATACATACATTTTCAATTCTTCAATCCAACTGCAAGTACTCCTGGAGCGGCTGACAACCGCTTGACTAATAAATCGCTCAGTCAGTCACTTGTTTTTTTTTTTTTTTGGGTAAAATTCATAGCCTCAATCGTATGAAACTGTCTTCAGCAGCACTGCAATCATTCACTTTATAGCCGCGGGTTATATTTATTTGCTTTTATTGAATCACATACATACATATGTGTGCATGTACATACATACATATATATAATATATAGTACTAGTAAAGGAAAAGGCCGGAAAAATTTCAACAAATTGTATTGCCACTTTAGTCAATTTGATTTGGTTGGTGTTTCTTCGTTTTTGGAGAATTAAATATTTCGAATTTTATATATTTTTTTGTTTTTTTTTATATAAATTTGAATATATATATTTACTTTTTGTTTTATATTTTTTTTTAATTTACATTAACCACTCAACACTCCTCCTTTGTAATTACAATTTCAAGTGAGCTATTGTAATTTATTAGTATTTGCTTTCATCACCGTAATTTCATTACACGCTGCGCCGGTACTTGGTCTTCTTGAAGTTAATCGAAACCGTCACTAGCTACTAACTTTTCTATATTTTTTCTCGATATTTTCGTTTTCTGTACAACAGGAAATCCGTGTAGTGTGGCCGCCCTCAGCGTTTATTAAAATTCACTAATTTAACAATAATATATTTTTACACACACATTTATGCGTTGCCGAATCTTTGTCATTTGTTCCTCCTCCTTGTTTTTTTTATATTAATTTATGCTGCTCTTGCCGTTGCCTTTGTTGCTACCGTTTCAAATTCACACATGCATTCTAAAAATATCCATTTATCAGAATTGTTCGCAGCTATGCACGCATCGCACTTTCATTTCGCCCCACTCGCTGAACGCGCATCAGAATGCCGCTAAACCGCATGGCATCGCAATGGTATTTTTATAACGCGCTCTCCAACAGAACCAAATCAGTAGCGCGCATTTATGAGCAGAATATATCTGCGACATTTGTATTTACCTCATGCGAGTATACATAGTCGGCGCTTAGTAGGCAGAGGCAGGAGGAATCACCTAAGCATGACGCTACTGTGCGCGCTGCGATGAGTAAATCTTCCAAATACTCAAATTATGCGAGATATTTTATTAGTTTTGTATTTATATCAACAATATAACGTAGGACAAGGCGGGCGTGTGTATATGTGTGTTTTTAATGATTTTACTGTTACTCACACTGTCGTTCAGCGTAACGCGCACTATGCACTGCGCTGTACGTCTATTAGCTGCGCGCTATAACCTAATACTGAATGCGCAGCAATTCGCGGCTAGAAACATCACTGCATATTGAGAATTGGTTTTTTGATCGGATGACAGGCGCGCGCCGTAGTTTCGCTGCTGTTCAACGCGCGCTGCAAGTATATCGAGAACACGCGCATTACTCACAGCGCTCGCTGGCTGGATTTAGCTGTTTTAAATTAGCTACTTGCCAGCGCGTTGCCAGATTATATGATTTTCTATTTATACTAAATAAAAAGACGCACAGATTTACCTCTAAAATTAATTTTGTTTGAAAGCGCTCAAGAAGAGATGTTATCCGTAACGCTTGCGATATACAACTTAACGCACCGCAAGATCAACAATAACTGAATGCTTAGCGTATAAGTGAGCGTGCATAAGCGCTCGATTTGGTATTTTAGTAGCGACGAGGCGTTTTGACTTTGACTTAAGTGGAGCCGCTGTCGGCTGTTGGCAGTCGACGGTCGACGGTTGACGGTCGGCGGTGGTGGCATTCAAAAGCGGCCCACTCGCACGCTGGCGTGGGTGTTTTGGTTTTGATCATTCAAAGCTTAAGCGTAAATGAAAAACGATCTAAAAGAAATGTGAAACATAAAAGATGTAAATAACAAAGAGTAAATAAGTAAACACAACACCGTGCTTGAAAACTGGCTTAGCGGTGGCGCGCATGCGCTTTGTGTTTTTATGAATGAATTTCGTTTGCGTTCTACAACATTTACAACTAACATACAGTTGGTCTTACTAACACATATAAAGACAATTTTCTACACCCCACTGCTGCTTCGAAACGCCTGCAGCGTGTTTTGCTTTTAAGACAAACTAATTGACAACGGGTAGCAAAATACGCAAAGCAATAGTATGTGAACGAAGTGCGTTGATGCCAATCAAAACCAGTTCAAGCATGAACAAAACGCATGCGCACCAATTGGGAACTATCATCTCTGCATCGCCAGCTCATCGCGTGCAACATCATCAACGTCATCGCTATCAATATAATTGCTGATTTTATGGGGTTAAACTCAGTAGCATTGATGTTAGTTTAGTCATAACCCAGCGAATATTAAGAGATTAAATTTGAGTTATCAATTTTCTATGATGAAGCGCCAATTCTTACGCAGTTCCGCACACTCAGGAAACCAACACTTCCATTGAATTTAAGGAGATCGATGAAGACACTTATATATGTATGTATATATATATACATATAATTTCATAGAATGACGACAGTTCATCCGTTCGCCCGCTGGTCCGAGGACCTGATAACTCATGTAAGGGTTGAGATATTCTGATAAAACTTGGACAATATCGTGAATGGATGAAATGGAGCCAAGTTCACGTCCACCACCCATGTAACGGAAATTTTGAAAACACAAAAGTCGTAATAAGATAATTGCAATAAAAGAGATACTTGTTAACGATAGACGCAATCGAGTGATAGCTACGCGCTACGTGCCATATAAGGTTGTTTTTATTTTCCACCGCACGCTTGACCACTGATCGAGTACTAAGGGCTTTAATTAAAAGAACTAAACTACTTTTGATGCGGACTTATCTCCTAAGAAAATCAAATAGGTCAGAAATAGACTCACATAAAACAGACATGATTTTGACACTTCTGCGGACGTTATATAAAAACCAGTCGAGTATTTAGTGTTCGGTTACAACCGATCTTAGTCTTACAAAAACAACCAATCTTCCAAGTTTCATGTCTGAATTCTCTCAGTTGGCATAAATAATCTACTATTTGAAGTAGAGCTCAATATTATTTTACTTGTTCTAATCTGGAAGAAAACAATGCGGGTAATTAAGAAATACATATTCAAATATTTGATATTTCTTAGAGAAGATTACTTTTGATATCTCTCTCTTTGGAGGAATACAAATAGATAATAATTAATTTTTTTGCAATAATTAAAATTTTTGTTTACTAAAAGCCATTTTTTATTGTGAGAAATACAATTTTGTCTAACCCCAATTGTTCCATCGTCTCAAAAACCTCAGAATAAAAAACTTGCGAAAACCAAAATGAACTTTTAATTAAAAATGAATTCTAAATCTACATAAAAATATTTTAAACTTGATAATTGGCTTACTGGGTAGTTATAGAGCTTGTAGATATTATCATTATATGATAATACATTTCAATTTGTTTTCTATTTATTAATTTATTCCTTTTATACAAAGATTTTGTGGGGTGAGAATTTCTAGGGAAAATGGAAATTAATTGAAAATTCACATTTAATTCATAAATAGAAAATCGAATCCCAATTGGTCCAAGTTAGTTTCGTTTAGGCAAAATTTTAAAACTCTAAAAAACCAAAAAAAAAATGACAATGACGACTATTCATATTAGGTGCCTGAGTTATGCTTAAGGGGCACACCTAGTGTAATGGTCTAAAAAATGGTGATTTTTGGCAATTTTTATTAAAAAAAATACTGCATCAATTATTTCAAAATTTTAAGAATATATTTATACATGCTTCACTAATAGACAGTGAATTTTTTTAAGAAAAAAATTAAATATTTTTTAAGTTAAAGTCGATCTCCAACGGCGCGAAGAAAGGTCCTTCACTGCTGCAGGGATTCCGGCCTCCTCTGTGGATGAAATCTATAAAAAAAAACTCTCGACTACCTCCAATAAAACAAAAATCAAAAATTGACAATATGGCGGCGTTTAAAAAAAAATAGTCGAATTTTATTCAAAAACCTGCCAAAATTCGATTTTTTTGATCAGATCAAAAATCGATAGTTCATTGCACGGAGAACTACATATCGAACATGTAAATAAATTCGATAGTGATCGGATCATTTGTTTTTGAGTAATCACTGCAGCAAATTCGGTAAATGCTGTTTCGAGAAAAACGCGTTTAAAGATAAAAATTCACTCGTAGCTAATGAGACTCTCTAGCTGCCGAGCGGCTGCTCTTTAAATTGCTAAAACTCAAAAACTATTTGAGATATTGATTTAAAATTTGAATATGTTATTTTTAAAGGTGTAATCTACCGAAATATGAAAAAGATAGATTTTTTCGAAATTTCTCCTTAATAAGCGATGCTATTAGTAATATCAGCCAAGTAGCCGCCACGGTTACGCTTATAGGACCAGCGGATACTGTATGCCCTCAATAACTTCACGAGTTATATCTGTGAGGTCTTGAATTGATGTTGGCCTATTGGCGTAGACCTTATCTTTTACGTGGCCTCAAAGGAAAAACCGTTAAATCACAAGATATCGTCGGTCGATTGCGAACACCTCTTCGAGGGATAAAGCGGTCCGGAAACTTTTCTATGGTCTCGTACGTAGTGCCGTTTGTTGAAAGTAAATGTTGTTCACATCAATATCATTCAATTGCTGCCATAAAAAATCTTTAGCAATCTCTTGATATCGCAATCCATACACATTGAGGACGGTGAGGATTTTCGACAGTAAATCTTGGGTTTTCCGATAATCAGTTTTTTGCTTATTGATGTAGCCATCGAGGTGTAATGGAATTTCCCCCTGCGGTAAGGAATGTCTGTCGTAGAAGGCGACTAAAATCCAAAAGTTCATGAGACTGTCGAGTTTTTCCACCAGATCGACCCGGATTTTTATCCGGGCAAGGACTTTCACTTCCACAAAATTCCCAAAAAAGTACTTTGGGGTAATGTTTTTGCAGCTTCAACAATAACAACAACCATTCGGAAGACCATGGTTTGAGATCTATTTCGTAAATTATAAAAAAATATTTTTCCAATTGTGGTCGCTTCCCGGTGGGAATATTAGTGGCATGAAATAAAAGCTCGCCAACAAAAATCCATCGGCCGTTCCGAGCTGGCTTAGTCTAAACTGTAGGTAACTGCAAATTCATCATTCGAAAGAACGTTCTTTGGCATTTTTTTTTCGAATATTTTCACTTTCAAATGGCCACGACAATGCCTCAGATGGTATTATCTCCGATGTGTCCAATTTTCGTTGACTCGTTAGAGCATTTCGGCAAGTAACCTCTGAAAGACAGGCATCATATTTTGCTACAACGCCCGAAGCGAACCGGGATTTTCCGTCAGACTTTGCATACAGAAAAGACTATAACGGTGTGATATCACACAATCTTGGTGTCCAATCGACCGATCCCAAACGTGAAATTATCTGCTTATCGAAGTGTTCTCTCAATAAGTTCATTGATTGATGTGATGCGTGAAAAGTGGCGCCGCCTTGTTGAAACCAAATGTCGCCGAGATCACGAGGCACAATTTCAGGCATTAAATAGTCGGTAATCATGGCGTGACACAGACATTACTTTTTAATAAATATGGACCGTTGACTCCACAGTCCTCCGGGGCAGCTCTTGAATCTCTGCAGTTTGCTTTTCTTCCCAAATGCTGCAATTTTGCCTTACACATTGAGCCAGAAATGTGCCTCATAGCTGAAAAAAATTTGGTTCGAAAACGTCGGATCTTCTTGGAACATTTCAGGAGTCCATAGAATCCATAGAGTGAAGCGATGTCGCTTGGAAGACTTCAGTGCTTGCACAAGCTGCATTTTTAAATTATTTTAGATCTCGACGACGTAAAATGAGCCAAGTTGTTCCATACATCAGTCCGGGTTGCTGTGAACGGCGCCGAATTTAATCTTCCCGGTCTTCTTGTACTCTCTCAGTTACAGCCGCTACATTTTCTTCACTGCGTGCTGGACCTGGTCTATACGGTTGAATATTATCCAGCAGTGAGTGCTGGGTCTCAAGATGGGCGATGGGTGTTGCGAATAATACGCTCTGTAGGCCGATTATGTGATGCTGTGACCATAAGTTTTACAGAACGTGAGTTTTCGTAATGAAGTTGAACGATTCCATGATAAAATGCCAAAAAATAGTGAACAAAAACAACATCACAGCTTAACACAACTCCCGCGTGATCTGTCAAAAATGTCTATGGAAAAAAATACTTCTTCTTGGATCACCCGTTATTATAGGTTATTTTATATTATTTTCTTTGTTTTTGAATTATTTTTATTATATTTTTATTTCGTTTAATTAATTTTATTCTTTTTTTGTTTGAGGAAATAATATTGCAAATTAATAAAATTATTTTAATAATTAAATCGTAATTCGAATTCAGTTTAATTATTTCTCAGGCATACAAATTAACAGAATTCACAAATGGATATTGAAATTTGATTACGATTATATAATAATTTAACATTGAAATATTCCACAATGAATGACACAATGTTTATATTAATATCAACTAAAAGAATTAGCAAACAAGCACAGCTACTGCTTAAGAATATGTGTGTGTTGGTTATAACATTGTTGTAGTAGTTGTTAAAAAGAACTAGTTTCTTCT